CTGTTTGGAACTGCAGTGGGAGTTTGGGATGACGATGGGGGCAAAACCTGTCTTGTAAGAACTTCAAGCAAGCAAAAAAAAGTAAATTTTCTCTGGAATCCAGTAATTTTTATGTCGGTTCCACTGGTGTAAATCCAGGGAAACTCTGCTGAGTCCAGTGACTGTTTCATTGGACTTAGGCTGCTGTGACTAATTCCACGAGAAGACAATGGAGTATCTTCAGTTTTACACCTATATAAGCGGGAGCAGAATCTGACCGTAAGAAATGTCATCTAGTAGCAGATTTTTTTGACAATGATGTAGATTGGGTGTCAGTCTGAGACTGGCCTGTTTGGGAAAGCTGCTTAACCAAAGCAGCCAGAAAATGTCAGGATTGGGAGTGTGCTGACTTGATTAGTGCAGGCCAGACTAAGTGGAATTATGGTAGGCTTTACTAGCATCTCTGATTTCCTGGGATATGACAGGTGCCACTAGATTGGGTCTATAATAACAGTTCAGTAACTCTGGTGGACCATGAGACTGGGAAATAGTCCACAGGAGATCCATATGTTGCCCTTCCAATTAAAAGTTTCATGCTAACGGCTCATGGCTTAAAAACGTTGAGGGTTGCCAGTGGTCTGTTGGCCCAAAACATTTAGGAACCGCTGACCTGTAATATTTTGGGATTAAAAAAATCTGGATGGCCAAAGTTGCTTGAAAGGAGTGGTGGTGGTACATGTTTTGAGGTTGGTGCCTGTAAACCATGTCAGCCTTGGAAAGTGACTTCCTCTCCTGCAGACCGCATGTGGTGTAAGCACTGCGGAGCAAGTTTTCCATGGCATTGCTGTGGCAAAACACCTAAAATCTGACCTGGACGGGGAGGAGAGTTCAGTCTCTCTAGACAGTCTACGTGACTTCCCACCAACCCTAGGACTGCTCCCAGCAGAACAAGCCCTGTCCATTGCTTTCACAATTAAGCAGTGCGGCTGGCTAGAGAATGGCCCCAAAGGCTGAAACATGCCAACCCTCAGCATGTCTCGGCCACGTGGGGCTACTCCTCAACCATCTACTCTATCAGATTGCTGGTTCCTGATATCCCCAAGCCGTATCAGGTGGGCAAAACTTATTTTGCCAGTCATGGCATCAGGATTGGGAGGGTGGCTAAGGAGATTTGTCCCCTGTCAGTTCAGTCTTAGCCTACCGATTGGGGATGTGCTCACAGCTAGACGTGTCTCAGGAAGCCATTTACCATGCCTACCCAGGTGGCCAGAACAGTCCTCCTCCTTAATGAGCTCACATCTGCATGCAGTCTGATTGGGAGAGATCCTTTCTCAAGGGATCCCCTTTCTCCATGCTCTAGAAACCCCCTTCTAGAGCAGTTGGGTTTGCTTAACCTAGAACAAGAAGTCTGAGGTAAGAGGCAAAAGCCATCTTCCAGCCTTCAGAAGGTTATTATAAGGAGGATTGCTTGTTCTCCAGTTGACAGCAAAGACGAGATGAAATCAGTTTAAATTGCAACAGCAAAGAAGACCTAGGTTAGATATTAGGAACACCTTTCCAACTCCAGGAATTTAAGAGTGAGATGATCTATATAGGGAGGTTGCAAAATCCCCATCACTGGTAGTCTTTAAGAGCAGGTTAGACCAGGGGTGGGCAAAATGTGGCCCATGGGCTGCATGTGACCCACCAAGCCGTTCTATCTGGCCTGGGGGGCCCCTAAAAAAAATTTAGAAAATGAATATATATCTGCCCATGGCTGCCTGTCTTGCGGCCCTTGATGGCTTGCCAAAACTCAGTAAGTGGCCCTCTGCCTGAAATAATTGACTGGCCCTGGGTTAGACGCTAGGTATGCGTGGTCCTGCTTCAGTGCAGGAGGTTTGAGATCCCGGTCCTTTTCCAGCCTAACATTTCTTTGTTTATGATTGTGCTTTGCTGCTGAGGCTTGGTGTCTGTATTGAAATGTGGGCTTTGTGTCAGTCCCCTAGATCCTAATTTAGCAGAGCATGTAAGCACGTGCTTAAGTGCTTGTTGAAAAGGGATGAATTGCTCGGACCTAGAGAGGTCAAGTCAATAATAATACTGTGGTAGCATTAGTATTAGCAAGCAACACTGGAAGGATGAGTTGTTTAAAATCCCAAAGATCTAATAGAAGAGTCTGCTGTGGCCATTTCTAATATTTCAGTATGTTGGGTTTAGATTTAATAATGCTGCATTGCATCACAGGTTGACCTCGAGTGGTTTTCTTCCATTGTGTTACAACAGACTTTTTTTTTCTATTGTGCATGGTAAATTGTTACAGCTTCTAACGGGTTTGCAA